CATCTTCACTTTCTTAATTCAGTAAAAATTACGTTGTTATGCTACGGGGTGACAACTCTGGTAATCCTCCTAACATCGAAGGCACCAAAGTCCCATGCATCATTAACGCCAACAGCAGCGCACCCAATGCCTCTTATCTTAATCAAAGAGTAAAGTTCAAAGTACAGAATTTCATGGCTCGTTTTGTTTTTGTTTTTTTTCGTGTTGAAACATAATAGAACTTGGATTTATCAGTGTTCTTCGCTTTTCATTTCTGAGATTTAGGGACGAGTTACCTTACTTTTGATCTCATTAGTACCATACCGTCGCGCCGCGTTGGTACTATTCTCATTCCCTTCCGCACCAAGAATTAATTGGTGGTTTCATTGACTCATAAACATGTAGAAGATTAAATATGAGATAGAAAATATAACAAGGCGATAGTTTTTGTGACGGCCTAAAATTCTGACGATGTCGCGTCGTATGACGGTTATTATCACGGGTCACCCGGTCACCACCACCGAACCCCCTCCCCCCCTCCCCCTCCACAACGATCTTTGAGTCTAGAGGCTGTATGCAGTAGTGAGAATCCATTCCTATGTTCCAGAATCTCAACTTACGTATAATTCAACTTACTTCTGTGGGGGGAAAAAAATCCTTCCCAGTACATGCGTTTTCATGCAAAATATTCTCGAATCTTACTCAGGCCTTGCTAGCGGTAACTTAATGACATTTAATGAATAAAAGCAAATTTAAAAAATGCAGTCTCCTAATACAGAAACATGAAGTCTGCAAAAAATTTCCGGCATTCCAAATCCGACACTATCCGATGGTCGCTGAGAATCGTTGCTGAATTTTGCGGGACACGTGCAAAATTCGGGCATCGGGCCGATGACTTAAACATTCAAACCACATTCAGCGTGTGGTTGCGGCATTAGTGGGCCTACGTGATAAATCCAGCCTTGCTGGGCTGAACCAATGTGAAATGCATCCTCCACTCTCGCTATAAAAGCACCCTAGTTATCGAAATCGGAAGATGCAACATAGCCGATGGATCGCCCGTGCTGATGGAGATGGATAGCTGAGGAGGGGTCTGGCAGGCGGGCAGGCGGGTGGGTGGAGGCGGTGCTGTGCGGTGGCCAGGACGCTCGAAAATGCTTGACTGCATCAATGACGATCAGGAGACGGATACGCCCGCGCCCTCAGAGGCAAGAGGCAACCGGATGCACAGAGCCGAGGGCCAAGAATAGTCTGGACGCCAATACGTAGCAGAAGATTATGCAAAATTACCCGAGCTCAATGGAGGGAGCGCAATACTGCACAAGTAAGGGCCACGTACATGTGCAACGCCCCTACCGCCGAACCACTTTCAGAAACTAGCCCAGATTTTCTCTTAAAAATCAGCCTATCGTGATGAGTGGCTTTGGGAAGCATTCATTTACGCAACGCTCTGAGGGAAGGGGGTATAGTATACCTACTGCCGTGCTACGGAAAAACGCCACATGAACTTTTGGGCGTTGCCAAATTTCTTTCGGTAAAATACAAATTTTCAGGAAAACTTGTTAACATTTTTCGTCCAATTTTCCAGAAAATTTTCTTCGCAATATGATCCAAAGCATCAGAAGATTTCTAGTAGAAATATTCATTACTTGCCTCAAAAATTAATACTTTAGGAGGAGCAATTTGGCTACTTTCGGATGCTCATACGGCATTCTTCTTCATCACGGCAGTAGGTATAGGAGTTTGCGTTATAAGCTTTCGCTGGCCAACGCGAAATCCAAGATGTATCATCCTCATTTCTATAAAGTTATTTTTCTCACTAGGTATCGTGAAAAATACTCAAATACCCAGCTATATATATCCAACAATTACTCAAAATTTTTGGGATCTTAAGGAAGGGAAGTCGGGCGGGTCCGCGGAGTTGCGTTATGAGGCGTTACAAGGGGGAAGGGGGTCAAAAATTCCGAAACAGTGCGTTACGCAGTTTAGGAACGCTTCCTTAACTAATTGTAAGTTAGCAAAAATCACACCTCATTTGCAGAATTCTAATAGGATCAGTGCTACTTTCCGAGGAAAGTTGTGTGGTAGGTACCTGCCATCTTACTAACATGATTGAAATTGAATTGGACGCTTCATTTCGGTTCAAGCGCTAAATTACAAGAAATTTGTAATCTTTACCCTGCATGGGACATACTTAGCAGATTTTTCCAGATTTGATTGGAGTCAAGTGACTTCAATTAAATCTGGGAAAATGCCTTCAGGACATCACCCTCGACAAAAGTGTGTGATACAACTATTGCAACTCCTGCGCTGCTCAAATTGCGTCCATCGAATTGAAGGCGAACTTGATTTCTCGTTTCCGCAATTAGTTTTTCAGACAGGAGCGCAAGAGCGGGCTTTCTGCAACTTATCTCAATGTCAATATCATTGACATTGATATTGACATCAATATCACTTTCTGTGGAGAAATTCAAGTGAAAGTAACTAGTAGTTTTCCTGTGAAGATCATTGAAAAAACAAAAATTATAATCGAAGTCACTTGCTTTCTGGACATCGCATTGAACCAAAATGCGTGTTATAACTTCTAAATTTCAACTCCTGCATCCTTCGAGTTGAAGGCGAGCTTCATATCGTTCCCGTTTTCTAACCTGACCTTAAAGACATTCGGTCAATATGACAAGTGTCCGGACAGTGACTACCCCGTTGAATGAAAAAAAAGAGAAATGACCCAAATTTTCAACTCTTCATCATTGGGAGAGTCTGAGAAGGTAAGTGTTTGAAGCTGTCGAATAATTGCTCTCAGTAATTATTCGACAACTTCCGATAACCAGTCAATGATAAAAGGAGATGATATTGATTGATTGGTCAGCGAGGAGAGACTCGTCCTGCGTTGTTACATTGTTTACACATAAAAAAGCGCCATCAAAAATTGAATTGGAATGAAGACAAAAAATCACCAAAGTTTCTAGGAAATTACGTATCGTGATTTCAGTGGAAAATACGGTTTGACAGGCAGTAAAGTATCGCAAAAAGTGTAATAATGTATGACAGGCAAATCCTCTCATCGACACCCCTTCTTCAACTTCGGGTAGGTTCCATGAGAGCATCCCTACAGAGCTGGAGAAGGGTTCGGGGGGCCTTCCCCTGACAATTTTTGAAAGGAGCTTACAAGCGCCCATTGTCGTACGGTTTGAGTAGAAAATATGAATTATAATCTTCCCGGGTTTGCCGATGAGCATTATGATTTTCCCCAGAATTTGGTCGCAAAAGATGGGAACGGTCTTTCAGTAAATTTTCTTTAGAGGAAAAATATAAAAAAAATACACGCCGCTCTGTGACATCCTAGGCGGCTGCCATCTTTTTAATAGGTACTTCGAGACGCCCCTGATGACAGCTAGTTTGCAACACCGCAAAGCCAGATAAACGTTTCTGCAGTTTCACAATCGATCATGGTCGGAACTAGGAGCGTTAGGCGGAGGGAGGGGCAGAAGGAGATCACGTCAAGGGAGGTTACGGGACACTAAAAAACACCCATCATGGGTGATTTGTGGTCTCCCCCAGCTCCAAAGAGGAGCTCAGGGGATTTTCCTACCCTTTCAGGAGACCCAGAGTCCCCGGAGACTCCCCCGTAAAATAGAGTCGCCTCAGGAGTAATTGTGTAAAGCGCTCTAATTAACAGATTGATCTAATCATAACTGCAAAAGTGAAAAATATGCCACACACTTATCTAGCAAAATCTGTTATTTCTCGGTATTGGCCAAGTGGATTTCTGGAGTGGGAGGGGGGGGCTAGGCCCCACCCGGCCCCACACAAGTTCCACCCTTGCCGTCGATATGCGCCCTACTCTGCCGTGCTGTAAGGAAGAACGCCGTATGAGCCTTCAGACGTTGCTAAGTTTCCTTCGATAAAAACTGAATTTACTGGGAAAATTGTGAATAAGTAGTTGTTTCCGAAAATTTCGGAACAATTTTTTTCGCAATTTATTCAAAGACATTAGGGAATTTCAAAGAAAAATGTGTATGAGTGTCTTCCAAAATACATGTTTTATCAAGGGAAATGTGGCAACTCTCGAATGTTCATACGGCGTTTTTCCTTGGCACGGCGGTACCGGCAGTTGGAAATCCTGCCCATACTGCTGACAGACTTGGCACGGCAGAATTGTTGTTGATGGCAGAATAAACGACGGCGAAGTTGCAACCGAGTGGGGAAAATATTGAAGACGAGGCAATGCTGGAAAAACGTGCGTGCGCAGACCTAATGGAAGTCGGCGTGACTCAGAGCTGTTGAGCCGAGCCGATCACCGTGCGGAGCAGGAGCGCGGCTCGGCCTCTGCACATAACAGAAATGATACGAGTACGACACCCAGAATTAGGTTATCACTGAATTCGTTCCAAGGTGCGAGCTCCGAGCTGAGGCTCGCGGAGGAGCGGCTACGGCAACGATCATTGCGAGGATCACACGGATCAAGCATCATACCGTTCAAATGACGTTCAGACTCGAGTGCGGCTAAAATTAGCCACCGAAGAATTCAGCATGCCTCCATCGCACACCGCCCGACGTCCCAGGTTTGGCAACAAGCGCGAGCTACCAGACTTTGCCCTGATAAACCGCCGAGACAGAGTGACGGAGTAAAGGCGACACGGACAAGCACTAGACTTGATACGAGAATGTCCACTCCAAGTTTCAGCATAGCCTCCCGGTCAAAAAGAAACAAAAAGTGACGAGGCTACAGGTATAGTCGACATAACCTAAAAATTTTTGATGCAAGAAAAGAATAGGTATTTTACATTAACTTCCACTACCATCATAATAGAGGCGATAGCCGTCGTAACTACATTCAGTGAGGACCATGACATGGAATAAAATGACTGAAGTGGCAATTCTTCCAGTCATAATGTGTATGAGTAGCGACCCTCCCCTACGGGATAACAGTCGATATTGACGTGAGTCGACGACCTTGCGAAAGATAGCAGAACACATTACATGATCGGGAACGTGAAGAATCGTGGATGGACACTCACTTGTTCTAGACGACAGCCGGGTATAATCCATACATTGCACTAGAGGTTATTATGGCACTAGTTAGATCCAGTTAATGCACTGCACAAGGCACGATTATTCGGTTCACTCCGCGGCGAGGCGAGGCACACACGCGTAGGGAAAAGCCGGGATGCAGGAAGGACACTGATAACCGATGCGAAAGCAAGAATGAAGAACGAACCGAGCGACGCAGCCACAGCGAGGGCGCACGACGAGGTTGGAGGAGGTAACTGCTATCACTAAACTACCAACACTAGAGGCACCAAGGCGGTTATCACACGGCGGCGCAGCGGCCTCGGCGCACAGCACAGACCAACCACGCTGCGCGCGGGACCCAGAGGATTTGAGCTGCCGCTGCCAGTCCCGCGTAGAAGAGGCGCTCGCGACGGCCACGTGTGTTCGCTGTACGCGTCTGTCTTCTGTCCGAGACTCTCTTTCTGCTGAGCTGCCACGATTCGAGCCCCGCGACCCCCGCTGAGTTACCATGGAAACCCTCCGCGACCCTACCGCTCACCTTTGAACCATCGGCCATCCGCCGTTCTTCCTACCCTCCAGGGCTTTTCTGTGCCTTCAGCATTCACTATTTCGACTCCTTCTTCCGCAGACTGGCTCCGATGACCCTTGACACGACCTTGTATGTTAATTGACTGGAAGCATGTGCAGTCATTGAGGAACGCATACCTGAACATGCAGTTGCGGTCAATTGTTGAAATATGGAATTTGGACCGTTGAAGACGATCGTCGCTGATCGAAATCCACAAAATCCACGTTATGATTTTGCGACCGCGCCCCTGCGATTTAATTTTACGACCTATTTCAGGGTTCCTCACATTTTCTTTGTACCCTAAAGAAAAAAAGTGTGTGACCTACCTGGAGTCCTTTAAATTGTTTCCAGAGAACATGATGTCGCGTAAAAAACCAAATCGTCACAATCGATTTTGCGGGTTTCGTGTCAGAGATTCAAACCGGAAAAAAATTGATCGGTTTGGTGTTTTTTTTTTTTTTTTTTCAATGAATGATTCTCTCGCGCGAGAGAACAGGATTGCCATTGCCGTGCTAATGAAAAACGCCGTACGAACATTCGAGAGTTGCCAAATTTCATTCGATAGAGTGTTTATTTTTGAAAGAAGCTATGAATATATTTCCTTGAAATTTTCAGAACTTCTAGGTGAGATAGCGAACAAAAATATCTGAAAAATTGGCGGAAATTTTACTGCAAATTTTCCCGAAAATTCGTGGTTTACAAAGCGAAGTTGGGTAACGCCTGAAAGCTCATTCGGCGTTTTTTCTTAGCACAGCAGATTCTATGTCCTCAGTTTTTTTTTCTCTATATGTTTCTTTTCTTTCTTTCTATTCTTGAGGCTGAGGTAGTTTGCAGGAGAAAGGAAGTGCCGGCGGCCCACACAGAATCGTCAAATTTGCACATATTGTCGGGATTCCTAATACAATACGTAGTAGCCAAAAAATGTGTCCAAGAGCTCAGTTTGCCTATCTTGTTAAAATAAGGCGATTACATAGACACGAGTGGACTGCGTTTTTATAGATTTTCATAATAATTCAGCTGTCGTAGGTACTCTTTCACTAACTTCCCATATGCAGAGGGCCGGTTCCCTGCGTGATTTAATGATGACCGTTGATGATAAAGATCTAGAAATTAACGAAACAAGTACAAAGATTAAAAGAGCGAAAAAAAATCAGAGACAAGGAAAAATGGTCCCGACAATTTACAGACTTATTGATAAGGAAGGTACTTCCGATTTTTTTTTTCTCCCCCATCAGAGCTTATAACGATGAGCTGGTGAGTCGGCCGATGACTCATGTCTAAGTTCTAATTGCAGTCCGATCAGCTTACCATACTGCTGTGGTAAAGAAAAACTAAAGCGGACGGACGTGGTCACATTCCTTTCGATAGTATAGAAATTTTCTTGAATGTTCTGAATTTTCCGCATTTAAAAGTGACCAGTCTGAAAATGTTGTTGAAAATTATTCCTGAAATATGTGCGTTTATCCATTTTATTCAAAACTATATGTTTCGTGGGGGGTGATATGATATATCAACATTCGAATCCTCATATATTTACTTTGTATTTCCTTAGCACGGCATCATACTTCATTGCACGAACAAAATTACAAGGAGCCAAGGAAACTTGGCACGCGACCAAAGTCCATTCTTTGCCCCCGTCTCGGATGATTTGAGTAGAGTTGAGAGACGGTTAGTAAAGGAGTTACTTTAAGAAACCATAGATTTCACTTTTTACAGTTAAAATGTATGAGAAAATGTCAAATTTTTATCGTGATCTAAGGGAGAGCCAAATGGACTCACAAAGGCTCCGAGTTGGGCTCGTTTCGGTCATACAACTAAACTAACTCCGGGACAAAGCGTGAAGTATCACGTGAGAATGAAGGCGTTTGAAACTGAGGATAAATATTTCATCAAAAAAAATTTGGCAACGTCCAAATACTCATACGACACTTTGCCTCAGCATGACATTATTAGTGTCCCATTCAATTAAAAATGATTGTTAGTTGCTCCTAGCATATCCTTCCTTTAATTTTTGACTTGACGGTGAGATCTACCTACAGTTTAAAAGATTAAAGTTTTATGGCCAGCTGCTCCCCTCTTCCCTGACAATGGATTCTCCCAATACTCCACGAATTTCATGCTCCAAGTTTAAACCCGTATCGTATAAGCCTGCATGCTAATAAGCACTGGCGAACATCGATATTAAGGGTGAATGACATGGCATGTGAAAGTTGACGCCGACAGCGAGTACACGCTGAAAAACAACTCCGGACCGGAGGGAAGCGGATTTTAAACTACATTCCGCCACTCGATTCCGGCAATGCATCTATACAAAACACAATGAATACAGAAAGACATGAGCCGTGAACATTTATCTATTTTAGTTCTTTTCCAGGTCATACTCACACATTACGAATGCGCAAGCTTGTATAAATTGCTATAGTTTCGTGCCTCAGCAGGCATCTGATTCAACACGAGGTATTCCTGCAAAGAGGGGGAATCTTGGTAAGAAAAAGTTGATTCGCGTTTACATATTTAGCTGAAGAACTTTATTAGAGAGCTAATATGAACAGCTCTCTAATTGTTGAATCGTTATCGAATGACCTTGATCGATATATAGCATTGTTAAGATAGGGATTTATCGATCAGAAGCATTCGATAACGATTCAACAATCGACCCGCAGGTATGCTGCCGTGCTAGGAAAAACGACGTCAGGGTCGAACTGGCTCGCATCTGAGGGCGTAGACCCTTGGCTGGGTGAAGGGGCGTAATATGATATTTCCTAGTGGGGCATTCCCTACGTGGAGAGGGGTTCAGAAAATTTTGGCAAATCAGCACAAGTTTACGCTATTTTCAGGTTCAAAGTTTATTGATCGCACGAAGTAAAAATTGCGAAATTGAACGTGAAGCACTGCATTGAGAGCTCACGGTTCGCGTCAACGCGCCTTCAATTTTTCAGATGCAGCACGGAGGTCCATCAAGTACGAATAGTTGTATCTCTGCGCCGTCGTAAACACGCATCCTTTCCCTCCCTCTTTTTCCATATTGTGTTTGTTTCCGTTTGCCTTATTCGTAATGGTGCTTCAAGCACTACGTGAGTAATACAGCCGAAGGTAGGAGAGATGTCCTCAGGCCTTTTTTAAACTTTTCTCCCGAATCAGAGCGACGCTTCATCGACAGCATAAAGCAGAGCATTGAGAGCTCACGGTTCGCGTCATCGCGCCTTCAATTTTTCAGATGCAGCACGGACGTCCATCAAGTACGAATAGTTGTATCTCTGCGCCGTCGTTAACGCGCATCCTTTCCCTCACTTTATTTCCATATTGTGTTTGTTTGCGTTTGTCTTATTTGTAATGTTGCTTCAAACTAGAGCAGATCATTGCGAGTTCACGACTCACGGCATCGCGTCTTACATTTTTCATATGCAATGTGAACATCCATCTTGCGCGAATAGTTGTATCGCGTTTATACATTTTAGATGTCTCTTATTTTTTAATTTCGAGATAAATTAAGGTTAAGTTTGCCCGAGCTATGCTATGGTATGTCTAAATTAATAGTCATTTGAAAAGGAGGAAATATGTTTAAAGGTCTCTTAAGAGGTCTATAAAGGATGCGTATGTCTAAAAATCGAACCGACCATCGCTTCTAAGGGAGTTACACATAGCGAATGAAGGAGGGGGACGATAAAGCACCTGTATGTCAAGAAGAAGGTGAAAATTTCACAGAAAATTATTTACACTTCAAAAAGAAGTTTTTGGACCTCTGTTTACCACTATCATGCGTTAAAGCACCTTTCTTTACTCCTAACTCTCTCTTCTTCCGTTCATTTAAGAAATTTTTCTCACATATTCTCGGTCGTAATTTTTTTCTTCTTATTTTACTATATCTGTAAGAGCGGCGCGTTTTCGGCGCGCAAAGGGGGCGTATCTGCCAATGGCAGATTGGCCTTATGGCCAGTCCGAGCCTGAACGACGTATGAACATTCAGGAGTGGCAAAATTTCCTTCAATTATAAATGCCAATTTTCTAGGAGAGTTATGAATATTTTCTCTTGAAATTTTTAAATGATTCAGATCCGATAGCGAATAAAATTTTCTGAAAATTTGGAGGAAAAGAATTAACATATTTCCCTGTAAATCTTTATTTTATCAAAAGAAATTTGGCCAGGTCTAAATGCTCATACGGCGTTCTTCCTTGGCACGGCAGTATGGATCAAACTTTACAGAAGAGGCCAAGTTTTGGAAACGGGGAAGTTCTTAAAAACTTTCCCGGGAGCGTTCCCCGTGGCTCTTCAAAGTATGAGTCATTGCCTTAAGAGTGTACTAACACGAAACACGTGCGCATGCTTTTCTGTCATAGTTTCCCGGGAAAGAAAATTATAGCCGAACCTCCTCGAAATTCTCTCAGGACCAGGAATATTATCCCAGCCAGATTCCCATCTGATCACGGTCCTCAGTAGGGTAATTTGTCACCATTGCAACAACGCAGAAAGCAAATCGCCTTCCCCCTCCCCTGCCAATGAGCGAAGGAGAGTGTCAAACAGAAGATCTTTAAGGGGATAATCTTCCTCTCTCCAAAGGATTGTGAAAGATCAGATGATATCATCGTAAGTAGAGGGTAATGAAGTCACTGATTCAAATCGATGACGTCATTTGTCGTATGTGTCTCACTGTCGCAGGCCCTCGAATGAATGTCTGGCGGGCGTGAGCAAACATGGAGATAATAATGTATCGAACTTTTACT